GTCCGAGGTTTTTTCGCAAGCTCTCGGACAAGCACTGAGCATACAGTTGGGTAAGGGCAAAACTGTTATATATAATTGACTTTGTAGATGTTTAACCAGAATACCCAGTATGCAAAGCTCTGTCCAGCAGCAGGCCCCATTGAAACAGCAGCTGCATGGTGAATGTGTGGTATGCACTCAGTAACCTCACTCATTAACCCCTTGGTGTGAAGGGGTTAATGTTTGGATATACTGAAAAATGAATGTTTCTTTGAGGGAGGGGATTCAGACTTTTTTGTATGGGAGGCTGGCTGATGTTTCGGATGATTGAAGCAAGTATGTGTCACACATACCTGAAGTTGGTCACATTCTTCAACAAAGAAATGCAGTCTGTTCTCGATGTCTTCTGCTATGTCCTTCTTGTTCAGGAGACTACGGCCTTTGGTAAAGAGCCCAAAGGGGTCCACTTCACTGAAACAGCCAGCAAAGACGACAATAAAGTACCGGTAGTACAAAAGTGTATCAATTTTATTAAGAATTTAATTTAATTTGTACATGTATGCCTCTTAAAATACAATATAAAAGGCACGCATCAAAAAGTACATGTACAGTGCTATGGTCAGATGATTATGCTACCTGACTACTGTGTAGGGTTGTGGTTCATAATATGGGTTCAAACCCAAGTGGGGACTGTGATGGTTTGTGTTCTTGGACAAGACACTTTACTGCAATTGTCTCTCTCCACCAAGAAATTTATAGATACATATGAGAGGGGGTCTAAGTGATACTGATTTTGGACTGCTGGAAAAATCTGATGTCATGACCTTATGTATAGATGGGAAAATGTAATGTGCACTGTGTTTCACATAATTAAGGAATGCAAGGTACTATGGATACATAGGAGAACCAGCTGGCTGCCATCGGGCAACCACAAACTCAAAGTGGTGTTGCTAAAGAAAAGTTTCATGAAAACACATGTAAAAATAATGGTTCCATCTTTGGGCATGAATTGAAAATCTTGAATTTAACAGATACAGGTACATTAAATGGGGAATTTTACAAAGCAAAATCCAAGTATCCCTTATGAGGGCCAGGCAGTGGGTGAGTTAATCCTCTCGGTATTTGTGTGTTCAAGGTTGTGAACAGACTTGAGACTCTTACTTCAATTCTTATTTTAGGATATTAATGATGTTTCTGTTGTCCCTAATAAGTCATGTTTGGCAACACAGGTGTAGAAGTGGCATTTGTGAAAATGCACAGAATGTTTACCGTACCTTAACGGCTAATCTTACTAGAGCTTATGCATACAATCTATTACTGAAGACTGCACTGAAAGGGCTGTTGCCAGTCATGCGTTTCTATTGTATGACAATAACAGCAGTACCACTCAGTGTAGAGGTTTATGAGAAAACGAGATGGCAGTATGAAAGTGAGATGGCAGTTTGAAAGTGGAAGGGGTACAACGAGAGGTGATGGAAGGGGTTGAGTGAGGAGGTGGGTCGAGAGGAAGGGGGGGTGAGTGGAGGGGGTGTGAGAAAGGGGTGGGAAGAGAAAGGTGTGAAAAGGGGGGTGGGTCAGAGAAGGCGGGCTGGGTGAGTGAAAGGGGGTGGGGGTGTGAGACGGAGATGGGAGTGAGAGAAGGGGGTGTGATAAGAAAGGAGTTGGGGTGAGGGTAAAGGGGTTGGCCCTGAACTTACCTCCCATGGGCATGCTGCTTGATCACCATGACAGTCTTCGGGTGCAGATGCCCATGCAGGAAGTCTGACCACACATCAATGCTCTCGTCCAGGTGGTACACCTTGGTTGGTTGGGCTGCCGGCTGACCTGGTAGGCTTTCACCCTCCAGAGACTGACCCTCCACCTCCATGGTGTCGGTGTCAGGGGTAGACTGGTCATCCTTTTTGTGAGTACCTTGCAGAGTGTCATCACACAACATCTAGTGAACATCGAGAAACCAAACGGAGAATCTGTCTAAGGTCAAGTCAACCTACTATGTTACATGTACATTCATTCTTTGATGGAATACGGCATTTTCATTCATTTCTGAACTAGTTTATAAAGCTCAGTGAGCTATAAACTTACATCCTGCGCATCAAGATCAGAGAGGAATTCATTCTTCGATGGAGGTTTCTCTTCATGAAGGGTGACATCGCCTTCCCTGAAACAGTGATCAAAAACTGAATTACCTCTACTTCATTGATAATGTCATCTTCTGGCATAGATGTACATGTACACGGATGGTTCCAAAGCTCACTTGGAGTCATATTTATTTGAGTGTATTTTATACTTAAATCTCAGCTACGCACAAACTAAAACATGCTCACTTGCATCTTGAAAGCTAAACTTGTGAAATACTCCAACAATATGGACAGTAAACTTGCCCTGGGTTGTGGAAACTTGTTGAAAGGCAGAGTTGAAAAAGCCTGAAACTGTCCCCGAGTTGGATGTACACTTTCTGAAGCTGAAATCATTCAGTTATTTAAGACCTGGAACCTTCAGTATAAGCGGGCCTTTGTGAATACTGACGGTATTATGGAGACATTTGCAACTGGTAGGAAATGTAAAAAGTTGTGTGGACTCGGGATGATCCACACAATTAATTTCAAAGTATACATCCCATTGGTTGCAAGAAAGTTAAAGGCATGCATATCCATGCAAAATATGTGCACTAGTTATTCTTGAGCCTGAGAAGTAAAAACAAAACAGGAACCAGATCCCAAGCCAAAATGCTTTTCTGGAAAGAAGAGTAATAAAAGAGTTTAATACTGACAGGGTGAAACAACAACTTAAGCACTGGGATGAAAAAACTCACCACTTGATGTCTTCTTTGGTGTGATAGTCATACAGCACCCCCTCTGCTTTGAGCGTGTTCAGACTACCTTTCAGGTCAAGGGTCACAAGTCTGGGTGTGTAGGTCACAGCACCCTATAAGAGAGGAACAATGCCTGCTGAAAAGATTTGAAAGTATCTATTATGCTTAGAAACTCACCGTAAACCTACCGGTAGCCCCACAAGGTTCTCTCTATGCACCCTGCTATGCAACAAATGCAACACAGCTGAGGACCACACTAAACGCAACAGAATGCAACACAGATGAGATGAGGCCCATGCTACCGGTAAATTTATACAACAGAATGCAACACAGCTGAATAAGCCTTTTGCGGGGTAAATTTGAATTAAATGTGGTACACTGAGTTCTTTAAATTCACATGAATATAACTATTGGAATTCTCCACACTACAGCCACTGTTGCTATACCTCGTGGCAGGCTTTTCCTTAGTTACATAAGAGACGCCTTGCAACAATACACTGTTCTCATTGCACAAGAAGGGCACAAAGGAACCAGTCCATTCCAGAGATTGTGGTCACTATGCAAAAGCTTGCCCCAAATCACAAGGTACAGCAACAGTGTCTTTAGTCTGGGGAATTCAAACTGTTATGTTTATGTGCAATCAGATATCGGCAACTCAGTGTACCAGATATTATTCAAATTTAACTCGCAAATGGCTTATTGAAGACCCTGCAGAATGCAACAGAGTGCCTCAACATGCAGTGCTTGATCTCGTGGCCCTACGCAATGCACTGGATGAAGCCCGGCCTTGGCTCTGCCGAGTATGCACAGTATACTCTACCAACTCATGCTGACTGCTAACTGAGTTTTAACCTTTGGTGTCTTCTGTGGCATTTTGAAGAGATGGGAATTAATCTGATCTGAATGGCTGGTTATGCAGTCAACACACATTTATGGAAGACATCTCTGTGTTGCATCAACATAGAAACAAACAACCCAATCATGTACGCAACTATAAATGTACATGTACATGTTCTACATGCATGATGTCCACACGTAGCAACATGTAACTGCACAAACTCATGCTTTTCTTATTATTTTGGATTTAAAATTTTGCTCAAGATGATTTTAATGCATTTTGGCCTTACCATTGTACATGTGTGCCCTGTACACTGATTGAGCATTACCTGGCTTTGTGTGTAAAACTGGATATACAAGCAGGGCACTGCCATTTGCCATTGGTAGACTGGCTGAAATAAAGGGCAGTAATGCCAAACGTGAGGGCATTAATGCCATCAATGTACCAAAGTTATGGGCATTAATGCCATCCCGGTTGTTTTTTATATCGCATGAAAATGATTCAGGTCTAACAAAAGTAGGATACGCATTGTACCTGAACATGTCCGTAACAAGTGCTGAACCAGCAGCCAAGTGTTGAAAGGCTTCGGCCTATTTTGACTGCAGCCGTTCTTTCTTCGGCATTTTGCGAACCACAAAAACTGGCCAGGCCAGTGATTTTGCACACAATGTACGTACGTGAGAATTAATCAGGGTAGTTCCGATCGACCGTTCCAATGTCGTGTATATACAGTTCAGATCGCGCGCGGTGCGTAGCACTAAACTGCAAACACTACAACACTACTTAAAATACTGCCCCAACCATACAATTGTCCTGTGTGCACGAAAAACGTGGAGCTTTCGATATACCAATAATACGTACACGTTGATGAGCACTCGTTCTAGACTGATATTATTGCATGGTACATTACAATACTTGGCATGGGCATACCCTGTTAAGTTAAATCATTGGATAGGCCAGCGGGTGTTGCCTGTACTGTGCTATGCTTGAGATTGTGCAACGTGCATGGAGCGGGCCGGGCGGTCGGTGTGCGGCGGGCTGTGTACGATATTTCCACATACACACAGTGCACGTACTCCCTGCTTTATGTGTGTATGCCATGCATTTGCACCATCCATGCCATGCATTTGGATGGTGCGGCGCAGTGTTCAGGACGAATGTGAGCAATGAAGGAACAATGTGTATGCCCCTTTCCATGTACCTTGCTGAACAGGGGCAATCGATATGCAGGTGTAGGGCACTACGGCCAAGAGAAAAAAAGGGCACTGCCATCTTGACGGTGAAACACGATCACTTTTCGGAGGCACCACAGCCAAATACATGTAGGAGGGCACCGACGGCCATGGCCATCACAGCCATCATGAAATTCGAGGCCTGTACTAGTAGTTTCCTGACTCAAATACACGTACGTGTACGTTGTACATGTATTTAACAGGAATTACTGTAGGTTTTCCTTTGCCTAGGGTTCCACTTACTGTCATAGTTCGGCCTTCTCTGTACAACACATCATGGTTGATTTCCTTGGACGTAACAGCAGCTGGGTTCTCATCGTACAAAAACGTTGATTCCTGAAATTGAGATTACAGACAAAATGTGACCATTTAAAAACTCTTTGTTTTTAAATTTCAATTTGGATTAACATATAAATGTAAGCATGTGCAGCAAGTAAGGTCTTGCATTTTCTACCATGAAACAGTCATTGTTAGCACTCCCAATTGTTACGATAAACAAGTCTAATGCACAGACCACGTATAGGCCTATGGAGTAGGGCTATGACTGATCCTGTCCAAAATCAAAAATGAGGAATACTAACGCTCCACTTGGTAAGTAGAACTAGACATGTTAGAGTAGAGGTGACGTGGGGCACATAAAACTGCATCATTATGCATTAACAACTTGGAACCACACGGATGCCTACACGCACGTGTTATCTCGTTAACGCGTGCGTGTTACATGCCATCATGGAACATCATGGAACCCTGTTCTTGTGCAAAATTGACGCAGCGTATAGGAACGGACGTACTAATTAACGTCAACACAATGTCAACATGCGTCAACACATGATAGTAACGTCAACACACCGTCAACACAGCCAAATCACGTTCTAAGTTAACAGAAATGCAATTCGATAGCAATATAATGCCTTAAAATACAATTTGGCTGACAACAGTAGGCGACATTTGGGGGGAAAAGCCGTTTTATTTCCTGAAAATAACACCCTCCGCACAACCGCGACGGTAGCCATGTTGCCTCAATCAGACGGATCATACCATTACGCTACAGGGGGTCACCTTTATACAGTAAACCATGGTACAGTCCAAATGCCGTGAGAAGGCAAGACGTCGGCGAACAGCGGCGCTGCTCAAAGATAATTTTTTTGCGTGAAAAAACTCCCTTGAAATGTAGTAAAATGTAAACTCGATTAAATTAAATAGAAATTATTCCTAAGCGTATACATTACAGTTCGATACGTCTTTTTTCTGTTTTCAACGCATTTTGTAAGTGTTGGCGGTGTGTTGACGTTACTATCAATGTGTTGACGGTGTATTGACGCTGATTGGTACGACCCTATAGGAATAGGCCTGACACCTACAGCTTTATTATGATCTCTACAGGCTGGGCCTACATTCGCATACGGGGCTGTGGCGGCTTAGGCATGGGCCCTACGACGTCTGTTGTAGGCCTAGGGCATGTGTGTCATATGTGGGAAGGCAGGCAATAAACATGAATCCATCGTACATATATGTTACGATACAAATAAAAGCCATTTTTTCCCGACTGACACCAACCTGGATATTCCACACGTGGGTACCAACGAAGTTGGAGTAGTGACCACACTGCAACGTGACAATCTCTCTTCCCCAGCCGGCCATCTTAACCAAAATCTGGCTGGAAATCTCACGTTGATTCCACCTCCATCAGGGTGAAAATTTCTTACAACATGTGTGTGGTTACCAGTCAACAATCGGCACAGTTCGCATAAACCTCAAGTAGTTGCCGAAACCAAAATAGGAATGGTACCAGACTAATATATATATATATATATTTTTCTTCTAATAAAAGAAGTCAACAGAGGGCGCTAAAAGTCACAGTCAATAAAAAAAAAGGGCCATCGTAAGTAACCTTGGTTTTCTCCGGGTACTCCGGTTTCCTCCTGCCTCTAAAACTGGACCTTCTTCGTAACTCTGTAATGTGATGCTGATTAAGAAAGTGTATGAATAAACGTACAGTTATTGGCGTAAATAGCCCGAGTTGCTGAAAGCGCCATTAAAACAAAACAACAAAACAAGTAACCTTGTCGATTTAACAAAATGATAAAAGGGTGTCTCTAAGTTTAATTACACATTACACACGGTGGAAACTGAGTGAAAATATCAGTATCTCTTACAACTTGAGCAGAATGGCCGTTAAAATGTAGCATCCCTTCGCTCAATATAATTAATTCCATTAAGGGCCACATTTCCAGCCTCAACATGGCATGTAGGAAGGAAAACAACAGAAGCACCCGATTCGAGCCAACGCTGATGAAAATTCTGGCCTTAATGATCAGCAAGTACCTCTCACAAGTTGCCCTTATTAAAAAGAAATCTGGGTATAATTTGTTTGATGGTAATTTACAAGGCTCGAGGTTTACAACTTACCCCATTATAGAGGATGCATATTGGGTTACCTCTAACCTTCTTCCCCTTTCTACTCCACCAATCTGAAAAAAGAGAGACTAAGCTAGGCGTCTAAAATTGGATATAGGAGGGAGGATCGAGAAGTACTTCCCCTATGGTATGGACAAAAATTTGAAACCAAAAATAAACAAACAATGGACAACCTTATGGAGACTTAATGGAGATTTTTTGGTTTCATGTTTAAAAATATTGCGGAAGACAGTGGTCTGACAACAAATTGGTCACAGATAATTTTGCCAAATAAGGGGCCAGTGAACGGATGTCCCCTTTCTCACATTTAATAGCATAGCAATAATGTAAGTTATAGCAATACTACAGTTATTGACAGTTATTGTGATCATCCAGGTATCAGACCTTGAGTTTCGACTTTTACTATAATTATAGTGCGGACGCATTCATGCACTATGCATTCCATCGTAGTTTCACCAAAAATATGGAGTACGAGTACAGCAAGACTCACTGGTGCCTGTCCCTATATTACCTGTATATAGGGACCACAAGCTGGCTGGTATTTGTGCAATAAATCTTAATTCATAATTATGCACGCATGCGTGGAAATAACCTTGGCGGCAGGGGCCATTGAAAACGTACAGCAGTGCGATTTTAATCATTTTCTCTCGGGTTTTCTAGCAGATTTTCCCACTTAATCTCGTGCGCAGAGGAATATCCCGCTTAGATTAGAAACTAACTGCAAAAACGATTTAATGGGAGTTTCTGTAGAAAAAAAATATACAAAGCCAGAAAACTAAATGCCTGTGAACGAAACGGATAAAGAAAAACAAAACAAATAATGCACTAATTTGGAAAAAAAAAATCAAAAACCTGCACAACTTTGAAACGGTGTTAATGAAAGTGAATTTAGTCTGATATGTCAGGAACACCAGCCGACACAGATTCAACTTTTCAAGTTTCTCTTTATTTCAATCGCCTTGACTATTTGGCTGATTGTTACTCGTGTTATCACTAAGTGGGAAAGCACTGAAGCACGACAATAAACGCGCCTTGATATCAACCTAAACAACCAGCAAAAAAATTAAATAAGCAAATAAAAAATCAAACAAATCCACAAGGGGAGAGACTGTAGCATTCTTCTGGACCTTACTGTTTTTGTTTGAAGAACTCGTGAACATGCCGTCATTGTACATTGTTAATACCTCACGCAAAACGTGAACATGACCATGGATGATGTTGAACCTATGGTTGAACACACCTTAACACCGGGAACACTTACACCCCTTCCAGCCAACATGACTGAGGGCCTGGGCAGCGGCGGCAATGAGGGCGGCGACTTGTACAAAGACCCTCTCCTGTACCAGACAGTTCTGGCCTACGTGCTCCTGGCCGTCACCGGCTGCGGCCTGGTGCTCAACGGAGTCGTGCTGTACATCGTCGTCCGTCACCGCGACATGCACAAAGTCACCAACTTCTTCTTCGCCAATCTGGCCCTCACGGACTTCCTTCTGCTGATGCTACACGCCTCTACGTCCTCGCTGGAGATGCTTGGGTATTATTTCGCGGTCCAGTTGGGCTGCTCCACGGTTCAATACAGCAGATACGTGAGTGAATCAACCTTAGCTAGGCTTAAATCATTGGGAAGCCTACGGGTACAACATTGCACAGAAACATCTTGTACGGAAGCTATCTAACCATGCACAGGAGTTACTAGAAAGAGAGTGCAGCCTTTTAGGGGAAGGGGTAGCAAAGCACCCATCAGTGGCTGCCTAATATTTCATGGTGACTTTGATGCCCTTTTCTCTACTAATGTTTCCTCTTCATTCTCTGTTTCTATCTTTTTTCCTTTATGATGATTTCGAATTTTTTAAATCTCAAGTAATGTGCTACACAGCCGGCCCCACGTTTAAGAGAATCCCGTGAACACCTTCTGCCACGCCCACAGAAAACGGTTCAGCATTCATATTCTACTTCGTTGCTTTGTGTAACTGTAAAATGGAAAAAAGTTGAACGGAAATATGAAATAGTCCTAGCAATAAATTCTTCCCACATGTTTGAATTCATGGCTGAAGACGAGGACGCAGAATCTTGCAGTCTCTTATACAGGTAAAAATGCATTGAAACCTTTATCATAAAGGAATTAAAAATTAGTGGGAAAAACGAAAAAAAAACGCATTCGCAAATACTTTACCCTTGTGTTGGTTTGACTATTTGTAATTTATATACGAAGACTCGTCGTTACCATCGCGTCTAAACCGTTTATAAATGCATTCTAAGCATTGGGAGTTGTTGGAGAAGATTGTTTTCTGACGCACTGTGAATTTTATGTTTATCAGGCTTCAGTATGGTCCATGTAGCCATGTCAGACAAACTGGGAGGAAAATGCAAACGCAAAAAAGAACAAAAATAAGGAAGCAAAACAACAACAACAACAACAACAACAAAAACCCTCTAGAACCAAAGTAAACAAACTGAACAAATAAGACAAATTTGTTCAATGTTAAAGACGTCAAACCATTTGTTATCCTTGTACCCTCAATGAGCCAGCTGATTATTCTACCTTTGTGCATAAATCGTGTTTTTTATTCTGAGCAAAAAGACCTTGAGAGCAGTGAAAACCTCGAATATGCAAATAGTACACATGAGCGATATGGTCAGTTGAAATTCGAAACAATAACGGTCGAGGCTATAACGAACTCGTCACGCTCGACTAACTGACACTGCATGTACCGAAAGGGCTAGATTCAACATAGAGTTCAGGCGGGTCTAGGCCTATTAGAAAATACTACCTGCTTGTAGCCAATTTTATGTGGTCAGCAAAGGTTGGCAGACAGTTGCTGATAAGCAAAAACCCCACACGATACGTTGACTGGTAATAACTGCTAATACTCTGCCCGTCATTTTCCTTTGCGATATTAAAGCATTTGGCATTTCAGTGCTCCGAAAATCTTTCAGCCACCTTTATAAGCGAAGAGATTCACCCTATATTCCTTTCATTTTTGAACCTTAGCGCACAACAGGTTGAATATAGCATAAAGTGAAAAAGTACAGATCCAGAATAAACTTTTCGGGAAAGGGGCAAACTTTCTTTTGTTTTTTGCAGGGGGGTTGAAAACTTTGAAAATTTTTTATGGTACTTTTTACGGCTTTTCTGAATAGAGGGACTATACGCTTGGGTTTTTTGGACACTTTTTGAAGGAAGGGAAACGAAAGAGACCAGAAATTCACCAGGTTCCATAAAAAAGAAGGTGAAGAGTCTGGGATGGTGTAAACATCTGACACACTTAATTGGTTTAGGCTGTGAGGACCCACACGATTCCTTCGGTCCTTCTGAGGACCTCCTTCCCAAGACCAATGATTGCATCTGAACATGGAGTAATGTATACAGCATTTCGCAGAGACAACTGATAGAGGTAAAAGGGGAGGGTATAAATCTGCGTGCTTTCCTGAGGCTTATCAGCACGATTTTACTGCAGCGGGTGCAAAACATAGGATGACAATGGCAAAGCACATTTACCAGCATATATTTTACGCAACGTTTGTGCAGGGACACTGGGACAGGCTGGAAGCCGTTGCGGGTATGTGCATCATGCCCAGAGTGTTGTGTTTAATTTGTAGGTTGTGGCCCAGGTCACGTGCCTGACCCTGGCTCTCATGTCATATGACCGGTACCGAGTGGTGGTCCATCCTCTGAGCTCACTGAACAGTCGGAAGCGATTGAGATCCATGATGGCGGCCATTCTCGGCATTTGGATCAGTGAGTGCTACGAATATTGTTCTGTTTTCGCAGAAGATCCTCAACAAAAACGAAAAGTGATATAACAGGGGATAACAATGACGCCACATTAGAAGAATCGCAAACATGGCGCACACGAGAGCTTACTTAATCCCAGTAGTGCCATCAGTATACCTTCTCATAAAGTGGAGCATAATTTCTCCCTCGTTTTTGCGAGACAGATTTTTCAACTTTTTTCAAGCGTTTTTAAGAGATAAGTTTCTTCAAAAGTTGTTTTCATTTTTTTTAAGAAAAAAAAAGAGAGATACATCTTCCCTACAGAAATGTATCAATGCCAACATAAACAAAAATTAAGTCTTTTGAATAACTTACGACCAAGTAAGCCTATTATTTCGTCTGAACGATTTACTATCTCGTTTATCCAAGATATTAAAAATCCAAATAATCTGAAACGTCATTGAAATAATTTACCTTTGGATTACAACAGTATGGAGATTCAGTATTTCATTCAATCATCTGTGCACGAGATAATTATGACAAACACATAAACATATCAAATTCCCTTTAGGGGTACCGTTCAACGTGAGATTTTGTGAATCATAATTAAAAACAACACTTTCGGTTCGTTGATTTGTAGCAGCTGACTTTTCTTACCCACGCTTGCCGTTTCTTTTGCTGCTTTTTGTTTTGTTCTATAGTCTCGTTTGCTCTCCACCTTCCAGTGGCCATCTTCTCGGTCAATTCCTTCGGTATAACCTGTTCGATCATCTTCACCTGGAAGTACGGCCCTAAGATGTTCTTCACCTACACCGTGGTGGTCCTGTATGTCCTCCCACTTGCCATCGCGACAGCCTGCTATATTCTGATCTGGTTGCACCTGCGGCAGCAGCCATCTCTGGGCGCCTTCGCTCCAGGATCTCACCAGAGCCAGCGGGGTCGCCGCATGCAGACGACCCTCTGCGCGATCATCCTCGTGGTCGTCATGTTCGCCGTGAGCTGGTTTGGCGAGCACCTCTTCATCCTGCTGATTGTGTGGCACCCGCAGATTGACTTCTGGTCGAACGGATACCGGATCGGGGCGGCCACCGCCAAGCTCACCATCTACCTGAACAGCATGCTAAATCCAGTCGTGTACCCACTGGCAGGGACCGGTTTCAGGCGACACCTTCCGTCTTGCGGCCGCTGCTGCAAGGGCCGGCCGGACGGTGAGAGCAGTGGATTGGGGCTGCAGGCTGCTAACACATCCCGAACCACACACACAAGAAGGCCCTAAAAGGGCAGTGCCCTTGGCGCCTTCGTTGCAAGTGCCGAACTTTTGGTCAGTGAAAGAGACGAAATTTCAATGTAGCTGGCTTTAAGAGATTCCACCAAAAATAATGCTGACAGGGAACTGTAATATACTATTCTAAACAAAATAGTTTATTGCAAGTATCAGTAAGTATGGTTTAACGCTACATCGATTTCGGAAATGACAATAAACTATAGCCATGCCCGAAAAGTTTATGAACAGCGCGTTCACCGGCGCTTACTTGTGCAAGCACGACTTGCCTTCCCTTTGACTCTCATATGAGTCCAGGCCCAAGTAGCCAACACGTTGAGCCGGTTACATTGGTAAGTATTCTACAATTCAATGCAAAAACATGACGACTTATTTGAAGGGGGCATTGTAGTTGTAGCTATATCCACATTGTTTTCTGTTGTCTAGTCAGTTGGAATACACTGAGTCTGGTCTTTGTGAACTTAGAAATCAAGCTAGCAGACAGCCATGGGTATAATTTTGTCTAAAATAGCAAGTGGTCACCAGTAAGGAAACTTGCAAGTTCATAAACTTTTGAAACGGATCGCTTAGATTGACATTTATTTTGTAGGCTTGCGATATGCCATGGCATGTAGTGAATTGAACAGTTTTATCAAACGTGCCATGAACAAAACCGATCGAAAAAAAAAATGTTTTCGAAATCGGTGACTGCAAAGAAGGGTGCTCAGGCAATTTCAGAATCACGCTACACCTTAAGAGACATGATGGATCAAACCTCAACAATTCCGCATTTTGTTCAAAAAAGTTGTTTTAGAATCTCGTGTAACAAGTATTTGTAAAATGGTATGTTGACGCTAAAAATATATTCCCAATGTTTCTTCTGTTTTCCTTATTCGATAAATTTTATTGCAATGTGCCTTGAAATAAATATTCGTTATTGATATACTAGAATACTGGCAAAGCCGTTTTTCTATGAATACTGTTTTCAGATAGTCCTCAAGGTAGGCGTGCCCATGTCAAAGAATGCTTGAGACAATTTTGAAGGGAAGCCGCAGAGAATATTTCGTGGATACATCCGGAACTCTTCTTCAGTGTATGAAAACTATTTGACACAGCTCTTTGTTCAATCAGTGGCGTAAATCTGTGTTGGAAATTGGGAGATGGGGAAATGTGGGAGGATGATTTGCCTGGCCATGAAAATTTGAAGGAGGGGGCTTCACAATATACACATATTGGGCGATGCTCATGATAAAAATGTACTTCTGTAACGTGCATCAAATTTATGCAGAATCTTACATCAGAAATGCTTTCCCTTGTTAGTGATAATGCAAACATTTTAGTCATTGGGAAATCCCCAAAACTCTACACAGTCAACTTTCAGGTATTGCTGTTCACGATAAAGTGTGGGATGATTAAATAGCCTATATCCCACCCACCCCCCAAAATTGTTGGGGGATATATATCCTCATCCCCCTCGAGTCATTCCCATGGTTAAATGTTTGAAAAGTGCACAGTTTTTTAACGTCCATTCTTGCTTGGACAACTCAGGGGCGCTATTGATGATGTCATTCTGATCCAATAATGTACTCACTGAATGTACTCACTAATGTAGTATTCTGATCCAATAATGTACCCAATGATAACAATTCTGAGGAAAAGTTGCTCATTGGCATTACTTCTACGTATTTACACAATAATTGATAACCCACGAAAAGAACATTCTGGCCAGCAAAGTATTTACAAAACCCAACATCTTCTGTGTGCACAAACTAATGCAAACTCGAGGTTTTTCCCCTTGGGGATGGGATGGCATCACATTTTTGCTTACGAATGTGGAAATACTCATGAAAAAAGGCTGCGAAATACCCACGAAAATGGTGAATCAACAATTAAAGATGATGTTAACTGAGAGGCAAACGTGCATTTTAAACGTTCTGCATTTTTAGAAGTCACTGCAGTGACCCTTCAGGCTCTGTAAGTATCGATGCGATCGGCTCTTCACGAAGGTAAGCAGCCGAGTAGTTCAAATCGCAAAGCCACCCCTGAATACCACGACGTGGGCTTGATGCAGATAACATTGGCCAGGATCGCTCCGTAGAAGCGTGACGTCATCGAGGAGTCACTATCGGTGCTGCCAGGAAACGTCTTGAAGAAAGCACAAAAAAATTTACATGATTAAATGAAAAACAAGTATATATCCCAAGTGGAATTTTCTGTAGGAAGAATATTGTTGAACTTTGACAGACTTTTCCTGAATATGAAATTATATTGTTTATATTGTTTGGTTGTTCGAACTTTGACAGACTTTTCCTGAATATGAAATTATATTGTTTATATTGTTTGGGGGTACTTGTTCATTGCTGTGTTCGAGTTTTGTTTGTTTGGTTTTTGTTCCTGTCTCCCTTTCCTTTTATTTCCTCCTTTTTACACGATGCAATTAGAAGAAGTTTCTTGGCAAAGATGGCGTAACGATTTTTTAATTAAATAGAAATTATTAATAAAAAACAACAGACATGAGGACAACACACAACATCCTACATAAGCACTGCGTGGCTATGACATGAGTGGGGGACTGCACCCTCCCAAAGAGGCGGGGGAGGCGTTTCCATTAGAGGAGCATGAAACTCGTTTCCCCACCTTGATTGCGTCAATTCTAAACAGCGGTTTTCTAACACTGGTGTTCGTTTCTGTCTCAAGCTTTGTCTCTAAAATACAGTGCTCATATTAAACAGGAACACTTCCATATGCTCTGATGAACTTAGTTCGTTGTTCCTTTGAAACAGCGCTGTAATTGGGTTGAGAACTTATAGGCTAAGGGTGAAATAAAACGAAGTGAAGTCTGAGACGGAGAAAAAACTGACTACTTACAAAATACTACTTAAAATACTACTTACCGCTACATTGCCTTCGCCATCCTGTACCGTCTGACGCGTAGGATACCCTTCGCTGGCGTATTCCACCGCGTACTCTGTGACCCACTGCTGCTGCTCGGAGCCGTCGTGGGCGGAACGACCCTGGACGATGACACCGGTCACCACAGCTTCCCGGCCCAGGTCGACCTGGATCCACTGGCCCGCGGTGTCGCTGTCGGGCCGCCATGCCCCGGTCTTCCCAGCGCCTCCAGTGAAGTTTAATCGGCCGTGTCTTCCCAGCGCCTCCAGTGAAGTTTAATCGGCCGTATGCAGGGCTGCTCGTGAAGAAGCCGGAGCCGTCAGTCGACGATGCCGTGAACATGCTGTTTGAGATGGACAGAGGACCCTCGCTGTCGATTGTAAGGCCCAAGGGCAGGGATGTGTCACACCCGACGGGCAGAGTGGTAACCGAAGGGGCTGGAATTTATTTTTTTAAAATGCACGGTAGCTGGTTAGTAAGGTATCGATGACTTAAACCAAGGAAGGGTGGTCTGATTTACGGATAGAGAATAAGAATGAAGGAAAACAATGGAACGCTCGAAGTGAAGCTGACTGAAGCTCAAGAGGAATTCTGAAGAATATTTCTCCGGTTCCACGGACAACGTCATTTTCTGATCAGAGTAGTAATTGACGCAGGATTTGTCCCTCTCTAAGTCCTCCCTGGCTCCTTTGTCGCTGGGAAGACAACATACGCGCATTTTGCTTAGTAGTCTGAACGCGAGCGACCTTTACTCAGGTTAGCCAGCAATGGAGGCCTGTCTTTTGCCTACATCAAAAACTCAGCTTTAGTACAAGACCAGAATAATAATTCATAAATTTAAAAAATGCAAATATATTTAAAACACTAAATACTTCGGACACATTTTAACGGTAAATGCCTTTCACATTAACATCGATGAAGCAAATTAACCTGTTTTTCGGGCAAAACGGTGTTGCCAACCATTAGTGACTTTCCTGCAACTTTGGCCGCCGATTTAAAATGGTGGTCAGTGATTGTAAACAAAGGAGCTAGAGGTCTACACAGTAGCCCTATGGAGTCGAACAGGTAGTTATGAACCTCTTCACAGAGACGTACGCAATGAACATACCTGTGATGCTTCCAATACGACGAGGGCAGTCGAGGTGCTGGCGTATTTCATCGGTGTTCTCGCTCAGAAAGAGCCCTTCCGTGGGATGTGGAGCGATCAGCGGGTGATTGACCACGATGCCCCCCAGGCGGACGGCGCTGCAGCCACAGGGATTATGGTACGGCAGAACCGAGAGCTGCATTCCTGCATCGAATTTTTCAGCGCCGTGCATGGTGCCGATATAGCAGGTCTTATAGGCTGAGGCAATTTGGAACGCACAAGTACCTTTAACGGGAGTAAGAAGTATAGCATTGTTAGGCCCCGGGGCCAGGCACTGTAGACACTTTTTCTTGAACCTGCGAAAAATGCGGGAGCCTGAGCAAAATAATTTTAAGCAAAGACACCACAGGTTGCTTTTTCATTTGAATTTTCAGTCTCGGAAAGATTCAAACTAGCCATAGCTATTTCGAACCAAGGTCCACATCAACATGAAGTGAGGCCCCATTGCTTAATAACCGGCGCTATGAAACTGGTGCTGGCTCTTGCCGGGTAGACAAAAGACAGTAAAAGCGAAAAACAATGTAGTCTGGACTGCCCGTAAACGAACATAAATCCTTCATCACTCCTTATTCATTCTGCAACTAACCGTACTTCATTACTTTCTTATGGTGATGTCTGGAAATAACCCAACCATTGGTAATTTTTGTACTGATAGATGCTCAGATTAGACATGTTACAGATTTGAGGGAAGTTAATCGAATTAACCTGTGTGAAAAAATAAAATCAAGCCTGTATTAAAACAAAATTTACTGCTGCACTACGATAAAATTAAATAAATAAAATGAATTAAATAAAATCAACACACTTGCATGAACCTGGGAGTGTTTCGACGCACATTCTGACATAAGTATAGGGAAACTTGCCAGGCCTGAATTTTCAAACATTTCCAAAATTACTTGGAAATGTTCAGTTTTCCCGTACTTTTCAACTGCCCCGAGCCAAATATTACCTGAAAGTAATCGAATGGTTCAGTTTCGATTATAACCCATACCGCTTGCAGTCTGAAAGTTAAACCCCGCCTGCATCCGGGAAGCATCGGGTATAATACGTGCTAAAAAATTAACAAGCACCATTAAGGTGATGAGGTTAGCGTTGACACGACTTAGCCTAATGAAGCGGTGTCCTCGACGTTCACAGGCTCCTGACAAAATTTATTTTTAATCATCCATGCTGTCACCGGGTACGACAATTAGCTTTGACATTTCTCCCATCAATTAAGCAGGCATGCCCGACCAGCAGACGGCATTGAAGCGCTTCGTGTGCATTTATAAAAAATTTAAAAACGGACCCGTTGGCTGGATTGCACGACTCAGTGGTCACAGTATAAAATAAACTTTAAAAGATCAAAGTCATGCAAGACGTTTGGAGCTCATATGAGTGTCCATATTTCATATGGCACTGGTATATTGTAGGTTTTTTATCTGTCCATTCAGCAAAACATGCGTATTTTCATCAATACGCGCGTTCACGTTCGTGCACGTTTTGAGATGAATTTTCCTAGACATTTTTTTATATATATCTGTGTGTTGAGCATACATATTAAAACTCTTGATCATTTCAAATTGTTCAAGCTTTTCTGGACAATTAAATAAGGGAATAGTTGCCCTGATGTTAGTCAGGGGAGACACTGTGCAGTTTCTCTCTTGTTGCTGTTAAAATCGTTTACTCAAAATTTGTCACCTGTTCTTTGCTCGTTTCTGTTGCCAAATACTTTGCAGTATAAAAGAAAAGGAAATTTAGGACGGCAATATGTCTAAAGTCTGTGCATTTTTGTTCACAAATTATTGCAATATCGAGATTTTCTCCTTGGGATGACATCACTGTTTTACTCACGAATATGGAACGTTTGTTCGAATAAAAACCAACAAGGTGCAAAGTGCCTTTGAAAAAAAAACCGGAAAATAAGGTGAAATTACACACCAACTTGTAGTTTCAAGGGCTTTAACAAAGTTATCGCATTGCATGAACCCTTTCTCTTTCACTTCTCCTTTAAAATAGCGAACTAGGATGCCGAGAGGATGTCTTACCCAATACAGCCAAGATGGTGCTCAGGCGAAGAAGAACTACCATTTCAGCCTGTAAATCACGAAAAATAAATGTCACGACTTCGTCTTTGCTTCCATTTAGCCGTGTACGTTCAAATACAAAATGTGACGTCTGCCTCTTTGCTTACTGGTTTCTTTGCCGATGGGGTGAAAACTTCGCGGAGTTCATTTAAAGAAATCGACGAAGAACGACTAGCATGTTCAAAAGCGTGTGCCACTCGCATAATTCTAGATAACAAGCTTTTTTTTAATCATTGAAATAATTTTCTTATACACTAAAACGTTCACAGCATCTTTAGCGGTCTCGTTATAATCAGAACAATCTAAACAGAGCCGATGGCCAAAAAATATTGCATGCTCCTGCGTAATTTGTGGAGTCCATTATGCGGAAGCGTATTAAAGTATTCAGGGACAGACAGGACGCAACCCCCACTTGAGGCGGAGAACAAAAATAGTGTTGCGTTGTTTGAAACTATAACAGGACCAACTTGAGTGCCGCGACCCTCTATGGAGTGAAATTCCAAAGTTTCCCTGGAATTTGGACTCGGCGAGTTCCACCCATGGTGAGACAAATAACCTAAAATGTGCCATAACTTATCAATCTAGTGTGATCAGAAATTTGCCAACACACATTCTACCTTCTATTCCACGCAACATTGTCTTACGTTTTTCTCTGTTTGCAAGGGGCCTTTTAGCTGTTAAAATAAGTATACTTCCCATATCGCATACATACCGTGACTAAGCGTCCTGCAAAGAAGGTCGACGTTGAAGCTTATTAGACGGGGGAAACTCTGCTCGTCGTGACAGCGGTTATTCCCGGAGCTTTAGCAATGATGGCTGCTGTGTAGTGTTGAGAAAAGTCACCGTTTTGAGTGGACACTATAAGCTATTCAATTTGCACCACGCAAACCTTTTCACTAATAATTCATAATTATGCATGCATGCATTTAATCTCGTTGCTCGCAGGAAAAATCACGATTGTAAAGTCTTTTTACACAGCACTAAAATCCCGCTCAGATTTGAACTAAAGGCAAAAAGGATTTAATGGGGTTTTCTGAAGAAAAAAAACTGAAAAACCAGATAACCTGAGAAAAATATGATCAAAATGGCACCCCTGTACATTTTCAACTGCCACTGCCACCAATGCCATTTGTACGCATGCGTGCATAATGAATTTATTAGTGAAAAGGTTTATTGAGGGACGTGCCCAACAAAATCTAAAGAGTTGGCATGGCAACTGCTTTTTCGATGACGCACCAGAATTATCTACCACGGCCACGAAACTGCACAATCAATTAGGCGGAAACGCCCCCAAAGTGGGTAAAATATTGATAATAGTTCAAACGCATTCACAGAGTATTCACTGATACCTCCGAAAAAGAGAAGCATTTAGATACATTTCTTTATACACGTTTTCATGATGAGCCTTGAAGTCTGCATGCGTAAGTCGCGGAACGTGGTAATTGAAACTGTGTAGGAATAAAACGAGGCAAATAGATTCGGACAGCGAAGAGTCCAAAGCGCACATCATTGTGGGCTTATATACATGTCATTAATCTGGCACGTATATAAAACTTCACGCAAACAGTCAAAGCCTCTTAGACCAGCTTTAGAGGGATTGCAAAATTAGATTGTATTCTTAAACTTTAACTTTACTATAAGTTAATTAGATTTTTAGCTGGTTTATCGCCCCATAGGAACATAATGCACAAGTGACAAATGATGGACTGTACCGAGAAAAATAAGGAGTGGGAAGGTGGAACACTTAATCTACCGCATTTTGACCGTGACAGAAATCATATCGTCAAATTGCACATGATGGCTCCGAGGGCATCGATTTTTCCATGCCTTTCCGCAGCAAGGTCAATTTGGGAGATACATGTGAAAAATTGCACTGACCGAACTTCCGTAGACTGAATTGAAAACGGGGCCCGAAAACGATGATACGGGCAATGATACGCAGTACGGCGCAATAGGTGGCACCTCTTAGTATGGTAACACAGAGCTGTGGTAGCACAGAACAGTGTCTAATGAAGTTGGGACATCAGTGCCACCTGCAGTATTGGAAACACAGTGACAGGTCAGTGCACATCACGTCAGTTCGTGGGACTTGCCCCTGCATCCCCAGCCTTCACACACGCCATCAATCCCCCGTGTTTCTGAAATCTATCTCTGCCCGACTTTATTTAACCCAAAAAGAGCTGGGTTATTTTGACCTACCTGACAGTCGGGGGGGAGACTGTGCTACGCCCAATTTCTTTCAAGCTTATGTAAAAGCACTCCATATCATGGTAAAGATGAAGATTGAACTCAATCAAACACATGGTTTTGTTTTGACGTCATTTGAGGTTGAAGACTACACGCGTGCCACTCAGCATGCAATGAGCACCACAGGGGAAAATCTATATATTTTTGGCCGACCTGTCTCGCAAAAATGGGCGCTGCTGCGCCACACACAACGGTTTGTTCGATTTTCACAAACTGGCGCCAAAATGACTACAAAGAGTTAGTCTAAAAACTCCTAAAGGCTCAGCTTTTGAAAAAATGCACTGTAGCGATATCAGAAAAAATGTAGGGGGGGATTCTGTCCCGTCTCTTTTAGGGTTGAGACAACCTTTTGCGGCACGCTGTTTCATCAATTAACCAAAGCGGGCGCCCTTCACAAACATGCCGACCACACCCACACACTCACACAAGTGCTAAAAATCTACACAGCTGTTAGAAAACCGAATAATAGTACACTACTTTTGAATATGAAATGAAAATACATCCCCCTTCCAAAATATGGTACATGCGTAATTGTGGCGAATCGTGACATCAGCCGAGCTAGGTGATATTTATGAGAAGTAGTGTGGCTGGTCTTACAATATTATTGAGGCTTTGCATGGCAGCCATCTTGAAGGTCAGATCTTTTGTTACACAGAGTTATGCATGAGTAAGTCTTTCTGCATGTTGGTGCAAAAAACAACAACAACAACACTGACCAGCAGCTTGGCTATCATGGAAATCCCTCTGAAGTAGACATTAGAGACGTTTGTGCACTTTAAGGTGACGTGATGCTCTGCGTATACACATGTATGCATTACTCTTTTGAATGATTTCAAGACAACTGATATCTCTATCCACT